CACCATACATTTATATGAAATGGCAAAAACTATTTATTGAAACAAGGAATGTCAACTTTAAACTAATAATAAGGTATGATGATGATGGTTTTTGATGATTCTTTTTTCTAATTTGAAACAATTACCGCATTTCAGCTCATGTCGCGTTTTTTTAAACATATCCTGGTTTTGAGGCAATATTAATCTCAATTTTCAAGTATTTTTTATTAATTAACAAGATTTTTTGATAATGTAAAATATAAACAAAATAGAAAATAAAAACATATTGTTCTTTTGTAAAAAAATTATTACGGCATTGAGAAATCAAAATGTTAATTTTATTTTGTTCTTACAATGTAGATTTAACTAGAAATGTGGAAAATTGATGGTTTAAAATGCAGGAAAATAAATCATCGATATTCTCTATTTAACAAATAAAAAGTGAAAACTTAGATTCTAAATATAATTCAGCATTTAATTTAGTCTTCATCAGATAAATTTTACTTTGCGTGTTTTATTTTGTAAGTTATGAAAATGAGTTTTGTTTTGAATTGCGGATTAAAGCGGGAAAGTGGGATTTGTCTCGAAAACGTGACATTGATTCAAATTTCAAATTCTGGATATGTTTGAAAATGGAAAACGGTAAAGGGCTTTAAGGTAAAAAAGGTCCTTGTGATGCTTACAGTTTTTATTATCGACTTTTACTCTAGATTTTTGCACATTTCTAACAGTTAGTGTTAGAAATGGGCCAAGTGTTAGTTTTGGAACTAATGTCCCCTGATTTACGTACAACCAAATTAAACGTGAAACCCATGAACTCTAAAAAATTTTTTTAATTAAACTTTAAAAATTATGACTGCTGTAATAAATGATGTATATAAATAAGAATGAAAATTAAGATAGTTTTGAATTATATTCCAAAAGCTCATATTTAGCTTCAAAGTAACCTCTATCTCTAATTTCTTAATCCCATTTTTCCAACCTAAGAGCGTTATTCTGTAATATTTCAAACTTTGACAATTTGATAAAGCAGAATGCATAGTTTGAAATATCAAAATTCTAGTTTAAGGGGAGTAATTATTTCCTTTTTTGTGAAAGTCTATAGTTACTATTTCACTAAATTACTATGATTATTAGAAAAAGTGGAAGTGTTACAATTAGCCTCTACATAACTCGACAGGGAACCGTGACATGTTTTAAAACCGGCAAAATATCTATCTAAAATAAACTAATATACATGTTATTAGATTTATTTCTTGCATGGTTAATCATTACCTTTTTGCGAAGATTTTCGCGCCCTTTCATATAGATTATAGGATCTGTTATATACTTTTCAAATTTTCCTTGGTAAATTCGCAGTCTTGTTACCAGAGGATTAGAGAATGACCGCCAAGAAAGAAAGGTTTTGACCGGCAACGTAGCTAATAGCCAAGAGTTTCTTGAAGGGAGTGGGGGGGGGGGTTGCATATTACTGGACCCCTCCCCAACCCCTCNCCCCCCCCCATTGTAATGTTTTAGCTTTGTCTTGTAATTAGAGGATTAGAGAATGACCGTCAAGAACGAGTAGCTTGCTTGACCGGGAACTTCGCTAAAAGTGACGATTTTTAAGAAGGGGGGTGGTTAGGTTACTGCCCCCCCCCCATCACCACCGTGAACTGATCTAAGAGCGACGAATTTTAAGAATGAGTGGAAGGAGGTCTATATACCCCCCCCTCACTACAGTCAATTGAAGATTTGAAAACTGTATGGTTCTCGTTTAAAAGTAACCCCCTCCCTCAACCCCAATGCTATTGTTTGGTGTTGTGTAAACGGGAAGAAGAAATTGAGTCTTTGCCACAAATTCTGATTTTCAAATCCATATATGTTTGCAATGTATGTAGTGTCTTATATTTTTATTCTATTCCCAATATAGTAAATTACCTGAAGGTCTTCCTTTATGTCATACCAGCCTACGTTACTCAATTAATTCTGGTGAAACGCCTTTATAATTTTTCCTGTTTTTTGCTGCTTTTTTCTCGCTGATTCGTGAAAAAGTCTTATTGAAATATACGTAATATATGTAATTAAGTAATCATTTATTTATGAAAAATAACAAATACATACAAAATTAAGTGTTTAAGAAGAAAATATTTGAAAACATCCAAAAATAGAGGTTGTGGGAATATTTCCCCCCATTCTAAAAAAATATAAAAAATAGAAATAAAAGGAAAAGGAAAGATACATTTTTTGTTTAAATAATATTTAATATAAACTAGTGGTGGATTATTAGTATTTTTCGACGATAAACTAGCAACTTTTAGAAATAAAAATTATAGATTTATTTGTAATGTTTCAAAAAAAATAAATTAGGCTTTATGGGTTGTAAAAATGTATAGGTTTTACGCAAAATGGGCATTTTTAAGCATCTTTTTAATTCGCACTGATTTTTGACATCCTTTATTTTCGATTATATCATTTACTCTTTTTAATCTTTTTAGTCTTTTCTTTGTAAAATCTTCTTTGCTTTCTTCGACTCTTTTGCAAACATAGGATGTGTTAGATTTTGTACATTTGTTTTGCTGATAAAAATCTTTATTAAATTCTGTTTAAAATTCGAAATAAGACTGGTATTTGAAAGCTTTGAAAAGTGCGTTTATTTTCATACCATATTTTATATTTTTCAGATTCTATCTTTATATCTCATAAATGTAAATTACCCCACTTACATTTCTCTTCAATGTGAGCTTACGCTAATCAATTTCTGGTGAAACGCCCTTGTATACTTTTCTGTTTGTTTTGTCGCTTTTTATCTTTCACTGAAACATGAAAAAGTCTTATTTGTATGTACGTAATGCATAATGTGCATCTTTCACATTTTATCTCCATATCTCAGAAATTTAAATTACCTTGCTTACAACTTTCCTGAATGAATGAGCTTAATTACGCTAAAAACGATGAAACATTTAAAGAAGGGTCTTTTTTATCATCAACAACATACGCTTTCTGATATATAAATGAAGTACTCTACGCGAAACCCTATAGAATTTGTTTTACTATCAATTTTTCGTTGTATCGTTTAGAACCAATAAAGATTTATATTATAATATATCTTTGCAATCCAATGTCGTAGATCTTTGATATTTTAAATAATGAATTCTGTAAATTTAAATAACTTAAGTTTGAAATATCAAAGGTGTTGCAAAGATATAGGAATTAGAAATGTTTAGTTTGTGGCAAAGACTCAATTCTTATGAACAAAAAATGAAATAATTAGTTGCATGGCACAATATACCACTTTTTATCTTAATAATTCTAGCTTTTCTTTTTGCAATCGTATCTCTGCACTTTTTTTTCTTCAAAATATTATTTAACAACTTAGAAATTTTTAATCAACGTCTGCCAAACATAAAAATATAACATTTGTTCATTTCTATATGATTAGATATGATTATAAAAAATTTCTTGAAATAAATTTTTTTTTTTATTTGTACCCCTGAACCTTGAATATTGTAGAGCAAAGGTCCCATAATTAAGAGTCTTCAATATAATGGCACTTATTAACTTACAAACCATCATATCCGGTCGGGGAGGGGGGGGCGGATGTAGGAGGAGTCTAGGGTTAAAATTAGCATGCAGGCTAAAAGTTTACTAGATCAACTATGAACAGGGAAGACAAAAAACCTTTTTTAAAAAACCCAAGGGAAAAAAATTTTTTATCGAGAAGTATGTTTAAAAATTGTAATTTTTTAGCAGAGAGTCAAGGAGTATATGTATAACATTTAAGGTCGGCTGTGTGTATTGAAAACCATGAATATTTGAAATATAGAATTTTTTGTAAAAAATGTTCCCTGAACCTGGTTCCTGTAGCAAATGGTTAGGTGTAGATAATTGAAATCCTTTACTTTAATTAATGATTATAATATATCTTTGCAATCCAATGTCGTAGATCTTTGATATTTTAAATAATGAATTCTGTAAATTTAAATAACTTAAGTTTGAAATATCAAAGATGTTGCAAAGATATAGGAATTAGAAATGTTTAGTTTGTGGCAAAGACTCAATTCCTATGAACAAAAAATGAAATAATTAGTTGCATGGCACAATATACCACTTTTTATCTTAATAATTCTAGCTTTCCTTTTTGCAATCGTATCTCTGCACTTTTTTCTTCAAAATATTATTTAACAACTTTGAAATTTTTTAATCAAGGTCTGCCAAACATAAAAGATAACATTTGTTCATTGCTATATGATTAGATATGATTATAACAAATTTCTTGAAATAAAATTTTTTTTTATTTGTACCCCTGAAACTTGAAGATTGTAGAGCAAAGGTCCCATAATTAAGAGTCTTCAATATAATGGCACTTATTAACTTACAAACCATCATATCCGGTCGGGG